AGCAACGCAGCGGTTGGGAAGTCTCTTTGTAGGATGTTTGCTCAAATATAACAATGTGTGTTTCCTGCTGTATAATCTGCTCTAGTTGGCTTTTAGTCCTGTTTTGGATGTAACTGGGAGTAAAAGGAAAGCACTAGTTACTGGCAGACTCTTACAGTGTTTCACTCTCTAATATAATCTGTAGCAGTAAGCCAATGAAAGAGGACAAGGTGAAGCTTAGTTAGCAGCCTGCTTGTATAGGATGACTCACCTCATCTGCTGTTCCTTTAGAAGCCGACGTGTCTGGAGATGTTTCATTTTCAGGTGGGTCAAAGCAGCATTTTTTGCAAACGGGGTATATGTGGCTCTGAGAAACCTGCAGGGTCCAGCAGACCTCTGCATAAGGATTCGGTGGTAGTTGTGAACTGCAGGCTTCAGAGTAATATGCTCAAATCAGACCATAAGTTTATTCATGGCGACCCACACAAGCTAACTGAAAAAGCAAATAAAGTGAGGTATGCAGGGGTTGTTTTTGTCTGGAGGGCCCTGCAGCTCTTTATTATGAGCCAGAGGGAAACAAAAATGTTTTCATGGTTGAGATTAATAGAAGCTCCACGCGGTGCTGTTGGCACCACATGGAGCTTCTATTAAACTCTCACATTAATTTCTGCTAGGTTAGTCGTTCTTTTATTCTTTTTCTTGGCGAGTCTCACTTCTTATCTTCTTTTTGTCCTCCTTATTTGTTTCTTTAATGTCAAACCTGACTCTCAAATACCACGCCTCATAACTGGGTTCAGGTCTCTTAAACCCTTTGGAAACTAGAAAATATTTCTCTCCACCCTCTGCAGAGTGAAATCCCACCGCTAACCTTGAACAAGATTCATTATTCATGCCGTTTTTTTTTTATTTTATTTTAATTTTTTTTGTCAAAATGGGTGGGGTGGGGGCGGTTGACATTGAACCACGATGCCTCAAACAGCTCAGTGGTTAGCATTCACGGTGCTTCGCTGGTGAATATGAGATCTAGTGGAAGACGGGAGTAATTTGAATAGATCCATCCATCCGTCCATTGTCTGAACCTGCTTGTTCATGTAGGGTTGCAGGGGGGGGGCTGATGCCTATCCCCAGCGGTCAGAGTACTAGTCCATCACAGGGCAACACAGAGACACACAGGACAAACAATCATGCACACACACTCACACCTAAGGACAATCTGGACAGACCAATCAACCTAACATCATGTTTTTGGACTATGGGAGGAAGCCGGAGTACCCGGAGAGAACCCACGCATGCACAGGGAGAACATGCAAACTCCATGCAGAAAGATCCCAGGCCGGGAAGCGAACCCAGGACCTTCTTGCTGCAAGGCGACAGCTCTAACCACTGTTCCACTGCGCAGCCCAATTTGAATAGATTTCAAATGATAATGCAAAAGTTTTCATCTGTTTAAACTATAGGTGTGGGCCTTCCTGTTTTCCCATGTGGCTCTGTGCAAATTGAAAAAAAATTTAAAAAGGTCTGCTTTGTCTGTGAAAACCTTCATGTTTATTTAAATGACCACAAGTGGAGAGAACGCTTCCCCTCAGCACCACGATGGATCCTTCTCTCACTCGACTCAGGCGGGTTCCCTTTGTCTCGATTCAAACAATATTCTCCTTTCTGAGATCAGAGCTTTAGCTCCTTCATTTGAGGCAGATTTGCTCTTAACAGAATGAGAAATGGACTGGCTGTTTCACATGAGCTGTGAGGATTTTTCTTTCTTTTTTTTTTTTATTATTTTCAAGCTCCAAAAGAAGCTGTCAGAGGCTTTTATGGAGCGTGCGGCACAAAGGGCCAGGAGTTTGAAGAGTTTGAATAGCCATCCTGGTGAGAGAAGCTGCAGGAATGCCTGGCATGGAAAACTCCGTTTCTTAGAGGAGTTTTGTTTCTTTCCGCGGGGACTTGGCATGCATAGTTTTTCAAAAGAAACAACCACAGTCTTGAACTAGAATGCAAGTGATCAATGAACAGCAGGAGTTTGGCCGTTTACAGTAATGTGTTATTTTCTACACCGCCTGGACGAATAGGAAAGGCAGCTTGATGATTTGTAGTTCAGTTTCATATGTTTGTGTTGCCCTGCTTTCTTACCTCAGACCTGCTGGGCTTTCTGCTGAGTTCACAGTTTTTTGTGTGTTTTTCCTTTATTACGTTGTTTTCTGCTGTCTTTGGCCTAGAGGGCATTTTTGATGTTTCCATAGTGAAATGATCTCAGGTGAGCTCGTGTTTCCCGTCAGTCTTAATGGGTCAGGGTCAGGGTCAGGGTTAGGCTGACCCTGACCCTAACCTATCAGATTTAAATTCCATTTTCTCATGGTGTGTGATGACTTGGAAAGTTATTTTTACTCTTGATTAGATTTGGTCTTTTCATGGCACAGGTGGGGCTGCAGCAAACCCACACAACTCCAACTGCTAAGTGATTGTGACTAGTGTTGATAGCTCTGTTTTCCCCCACAGGACAATTGAAACAGTGCTGTTATTTAGAAACATCAGGTCGAGTGCCACTCGAATGCTCCACTTCAGCACAGTCGGACAGATGGTCTCGCAGGCCAGTGCTGTCAAAGCAGAACTTGTCATGAGACCAGACAACTTGGCTAATGTGGAAAATCCGGCTAGCAGTCATTAACTACATCAGCCTTCGGCATTGACCTCTTTCCTCTGCATGTGTCTTTGTGTAAGAACCTCTGATTTTGATTTCCACTTTGCTTGCTGTGGTCCATTTTTGTTTTTTATCTTCTGAGCTCTTTCTTCATGCACACTTCTCTCTGTAAACTATTGATCCTTGTTTTCTTTCCTCTCAGCCTCCTCCTGCTCCCTGCACTCCAGTTGTTGTTGAATCGAGTCAGAACTTGGCCACAGACCACATCTCTTTGGAAAATTACAATCTGAACTGTTTAAAACAGAAGGTTGTCGGTTCAGATAAGATGTGCATATAGATATTTGGTTATGTTTATACATCTAAATGCTCAGGATTGTGTACATCTCTTGTTTCAGTCCTACATCCTACCACTTTATGATGTGTTTTTAATGAAATATTAATGTTTTGATTCAACTCTTGTTGACGGCAACATTTGCTTTTCCAGTCTTGAGTCCGTTCTGTCACCCCGGTTAGCCAACAGCCGATTAAATAAATTAAAACATTTGCTAACGAGATGAAGCAACTTTACTGTTGCCACCTTCTTAATCAATCCGTTAGATTGTATGCTTTTCATGTATGGGTTGAGTGCAACATTAAACACAAGAGTGTTTGTCGGTTATTACCTGCCACCCAAAGGCCCGTGCACATGCATTTGTTCAGCTACAGTTGAACAAATAGACAGATTTTGATGAAAAACTCTGAAAATAATCGCTGGATGATTGCCAACAACTGATAAACTTATGAAGGCGATCCGATTTAAGATGGCTGTCACAGCCAACCAATATTCATTCATCCATCCATTTTTTTGTCTGATTATCTGGAGTCAGGTCGTGGGGCAGAAGCCTAAGCAGAGTCCCAGACTTCCCTCTCCCCAGCCACTTGGGCCAGCTCCTCCGGGGTAATCCCAAAACTTCTTTCGGCCGCTTGTATCCGTGATCTCATTCTTTCAGTCACTACCCAAAGCTTGTGACCATAGGTAAGGGTAGGAACGTAGATCAAATGGTAAATCTTCACCACGACAGACCGGTACAACACCTGCATTACTGCAGACACAGTATCCTTTCCCAGCCTAGCAATACAAAAAGGACTATAACTCACTCAAATGAACTGTTTTTAATTTAATTTAATTTTTTTTTTTTTTTTTTTTTTTTTTTGGAGAAACATCTCAGAGCTGCGAATGTTGGTGTCAAAACATGTACTTGAAATGATTACCAATGCCTTTACCTCCTCCAGTCTAGATTACTGTAACACACTTTTACCATGTTAAGCTCTTGGCCGCCTTCAGTTGGTCCAGATTTCTGCAGCGAGGCTCCTAACTGGAGCAAACAGAAGAGCACGCATCACTCCTATTCTGATGTCTCTGCACTGGTTACCCGCTAACTTTAGAGTTCATTTTATAATCCTGATCATAACTTTCAATGCTCTACATGGTGAAGCTCCTCCCTATATTACTGAACTGTTAAAGCCTTGTGCTCCAACCCGAGTCCTCAGGTCCACACACCAGAACCCTCTAGAAGTTCCAAACACCAGATATAAAAGTTGAGATGATTGCTCCTGCCAGACTGTTGCACCCCGACTTTGAAATGAACTTCGAAAGGTGTGTGTGTGGGAGAGAGAGAAAGGGAGAAACAGAGAGCACGTGCGTGACATCAATTTTTTTACCTTGTTTTTTTTATTTTACTCTTATTACTTCCTTACATGATCTGTCTTTAGTGAGTGCAAAGTCAATTTCGTTAAACACCTGTGCAATGACAATAAATGATCTTGAATCTTTTATCCTTACGTAGTATTGATAGTTTGGACACATTTAAAAAGCAGCAAAAAACCCTTTTTACTGCTTTTACTTAAATCTTTTGTGTTTTGTTTGTATAATGCCTTTTCTGGTTTTAATTATCTTTCATTTGTTTTGATATTTAGTTGTTTGACTGTATGATGATTAGATTTGTTGATCTCTGTGAAGCACACTGTGATTTTTTTTCTTTTTGTGATAAGTTCTTTAAAAAATTTAATTACAAAATTACAGATATTGAGCTATAATCTGGTGGAGCTCAAAGTCATGAGCTAAACATAATCAGAGCATCACACATCTCTAAGATATTTGCCATTAATTATTTGACTCAACCTTGGTTCTCTGCAAATCATTTCAAGAACCTTTGGACGCAATTTAGAGAAATCCAGAAACAGATAAAACCTTTGATTCAAACCAACTCAAGATTGACAGTTTTAGTAATATTACTTGTAGTATGCTGGTAGTCTTGGTGTCTGAGGTTACTGCATTTGAAGATAAACGTGAATAAAATCATGCTCTTTCGTCCCTTCTCATAACTTTCTTTCTGTCCGTCTCCAGTGAGGGTCGAGTTGAAGTGGTGGGAGGGGGAAGTCTCCAGATTTCCAACATCATGGAAGAAGATGCTGGCGTGTACACCTGTGTGGCAGAAAATTCTAACACCACCATTGAAGCCCAGGCCCAGCTCACAGTTCAAGGTAACTTTATCAGCCCATATCATCCTTTCTGTGTCTTAGGACTGGAGGCAGAAACTAAAGCATGCTGGGAAGCAATCACAGAGCCAGAAACTCACAATGCCTAAAAGAAAGCTTAAAAAATTATGCATGTAATCAGAAATTTTCCTCAGAATTTAAATGATGCTGTCGTGATTGCAAATCAGTCGATACCTGAGCATATTATTGGCTTCATTTTTGGGAGTAAATTAGAAACTAAGTGTCAGTACAGGCAAAATTGAAGCACAAATTGGAATTTCGTGAGAAGCAGAAATAAGTGAAGTTGGATTAGTTGGTGAAGAAAGTGCAACAGAGAAGATCTGACTGAACTCTCAGACCATCTCTCCAACAGAGAAAACAAACTCATTATGTTTGAGAATGAGGTTATTAAAAGCCTCCTGGATTCTTCGTCCCAGACACAAAACAAAAACCAGAGTTCACCTTGAAAGGAAATGAAACACAAGTGGTTTTCATGCATGTAAACTTTGCAGAGTGGCACACACACGCACGCACGCACACACACACACACAGAATCTGACACAGCCCCAACACGATAATGTTGTCATGAGCACTCATGACTTGTGGGCGTTTTTGCGTTTTCCGTATACAGAAAGTCTACAGGATTTGGTTTGAAATAACGTTGAAACGGGGAAACACCCTGAGGCTCCTTCCGAAGGTTTATTTCATTTCACACACATGTCGTGCCATGACTCCCAACCTTTTTTTCCCTGTAAATCCCTTCATCTCCTCGTCACCCCATAACCTTCCTTTCATCACTTCCCGTCACTTGCTGTGATTAAAGGAGGCCGTAATGGAAAATCGGATCAGGTCACAGGAGGACACCTGACTCCATTCGGTTTTACTTCTCGGGTATATCCACGGGAAAAAATATACCTTCCCTCTGAAATTCCCCATTCCTTCAGCTCTAACCCTCCACTGCTGTTGAGATGAGACTGCAGAGGATTGATCAGCACCCTTAGAATGTTTGTGAAAGACAATTGTCCCTGTCCTACAAGTTTGATTAGTTCCTATTTTGTAGACTCCCAGTGCGTTTGTTTAAACCACATTCGAGAAGAAGCCAGACTCTGGAATCGATTTGCTCCCCTGTCAACAAAAGTGACACTTGAAAGGTCAACTGATTTCTTCAGTAAGTAGTTATGTCTGTAAAGGACACTCAAATCAATGTGGTTGGAATCCATAACGTCAACAAAACCATTTTTTCTATGACTGATTTCCATTAAAAAGATCTGAGAGGCTCGGAGGAAACTGTATGTTTAGATGGAGTGGCTTTTCACCGGACAGTTCGTGTGAAGGCAAAGAAGCAGAAAGGCAGCTGGTGGATCAGTGTTGGGTTTCGCCCTGAGATGGCTCCGGGGTTTGTGATCCAGCTGGAGTTGTACTGATGTATGAACAAACATACATATGTAAATATGCCAACCGCTGTTAGCTATTTGTTCTGTATGCATTCACAAACGTTTTTGTTTGTTCTAACGTGATTTGAAATTGTTTCCAGATTTGCTTATTTTAAATGGATTTAACCCTCCATGGATGCTTCTCCGTTTAGCAGACTAAAAGGTTGAAATTTTACATCCAAAGAAATCAAAAACTGTGATTAAATATAAATTCAACCTTCGAAAATTTAAAGATTTGTAGCCTGGCAAGCCATCCTATGTATGTAAACATCTGGCCCCAATGCATAAGCAAACCCCAGTGGTTGGGTGGCATCTACAGTCGACTTTCAAGTTGCCTTTGTACGTAACTGGACAACGCTAGGTCCAATCAGAGCAAAAACGATGTGATATATTTTTAAGTACTTACCATATACTATCAGCAGAACAGCCAATATATCCTCCATCCATCCATTCATTTTCAACCACTTATCCAAATTTGGGTCAGCCTAAGCCGAGATGCCCACACTTCCCTCTCTCCAGCTACTCGGGCCAGCTCTACCGGGGGAATCCCAAGACGTTCCCTGGCCAGCCAAGAGACATAGTCTCTCCAGCGTGTCCTGGGTCTTCCCTTGGGTCTCCTCCCAGTTGGACGTGCCCAGAAAACCTCACCAGGGAGGGGTCCAGGAGGCATCCTGACCGGGGGGGGGGGGTCGGTCATGGACAAGAGCTGACCACCGTTTAAAATAACTCAGCTTAGCACAAAAAATAAGAAAATTTGTGTTTAGTTGATAATTTTCTGTGTTTTAATGGTATTCTTAGCCTTATACTGTAAATAAAAGTCAGAACTCTTAATTAATCCCCTTTACAACAAGGTATGATTTAGGATGGTTCATCTGTAATATGAGCGACACGGCAACATGTTGGTAGCACCAATGTCCAGACAGTCTCGTCCAGTTAAACCTAAAAATATTTTTTACCCACTGAACACAAACTATCTTCAGTTTATGGCTGATGTAAAATTCAGATGAGTAAAATGGACAAAAACAAAACAAAAAAATGTTTCTTTTGTCTGCCAGTCACACGTTTGTCAATAAAACTACAAATGTTCGCTTTAAGAGCCTCATATATGTATATATATATATAATCACCTGGCCTTTAAAACAGTTTTTGAAATGCGGCGCCTGTCTAAGAATGTTGTACTGTACCTACTTTTTTAATGAGATACAATAAAATGTCAGTGTGAGTGTTAGTCTGCTTCTGTAGAACCACAGGCTGACAGGAAGTCTTTAATCTCTAAATAAGTGTTAAAACTTAAACAGCTCCAATCATACCTAGAGAACTGTGTGTGTGTGTGTGTGTGTGTGTGTGTGTGTGTGTGTGTGTGTGTGTGTGTGTGTGTGTGTGTGTGTGTGTGTGTGTGTGTGTGTGTGTGTGTGTGTGTGTGTGTGTGTGTGTGTGTGTGTGTGTGTGTGTGTCTGTGTGTGCGTGCGTGTGTGTGTGCGTGTGTGTGTGATGACTTTGGTTTGACATCTCACCCTCTATTAAAGCAGGCAACAGAATAAATGAGGCCAGAGGAGGCTGCAGCTTTTGATTATGGTGTTGCGTGACTTGGGTGCCACCCAGGACTAGACTCTGTGTGTGTGTGTGTGTGTGTGTGTGTGTGTGCGTGTGCGTGTGTGTGTGCGTGTGTGCTTGTGTGTGTGTGTGTGTTAGAAAGTTACAAAAATAGTATGTAACCTTTTTGTTACTATTTTACAAGGCTTCGACTCAGTGGTCTGCATCTATCATGCCCTCGTACTATGGCGTCATCACCTTAATTGTTCTTTCAAAGTGCTGTGCTCTCATCTAGAAAATCTCTGCCTCATGTAAAAGACTTTCATACGAGCTGACTTCTCTGATTTATAGCTAGAGTCATTAAAATGGAATTTTCAGCCATTTTCAAGTGTATTCCAGTGTAAAAGTTACGAATGATCGTTACCTTACTCATGGATGGCTTCCTGAAGGGCCTCTACTTACAGAAAATTTCCTGAGCTTCAAAATTTTGTTAAATGTACATTTTTATTGTGTAAAAGCAAAAACTAACATAAGTTGGTTGTTTTTCTAGAAAAATAAGTAAATATGTGGCTACTTTTATCAGACATCTGTTAAAGGGACACAATGCAACTTTGTCTTATTGTTAAATCAGCCAGTATGATAGTCAGTATGTGCTAAAATGACCCTTTACAGCAGGGGTCTGCAACCTTTCTGGTGATGAGTGCCATTTAAAATTTCATTTGAAGTCAGTGTGCCATTTCAACTGTGGCATAAAGCATACTTTTAATAACACTGCATAACAAGTTACACATTATATACTGTGAAATTTTACAGTTAGATCCAGTATTGGGCAGCATAACATCTCTTTTCCACTTCATCCTAAAACTGAACTTCATAGAACTATATTTGTTGACCGGTGTTGGCAAAGGGTAGATCAGGTATTTTAAAAAACCCTGTCCATAACAAGAACATCAAAAGACATACACCACAGAAAATACAATATTTAAGGTGTCACAACAAAGATAAGAATAAACTAAACTTAGCCAAGATATGTTATTGCAAGGATAAACATGCTAATGAGATTTCTGCCCCTGCTTTGCATTTGCTAGTTCAGTTATGTGGGGTTCACACTTAGTAACTTTCAGGAGCACACAGGTCTCTGAATGTCCAGCAGTTAGACGGCTACGGGAGGCACTGAGGACACTCTTCATGTGAGAGAAAATCTGCTCACACAGATATGTAGAACCAAATACTGTCAATAAAGCCTGTGCAATGTTCTTGAGACAGTTAAACCTGTCTGGTAGTGACGTCCAGCAACTGAAAATGCAAGCTCCATGATCATGCACAGCTGTGGATTCCAGCTGCTGCCGTAGTTCTGCAAACTTTGTCCCCCACAGAGTTGAGCTTTTCAGTTCAATCAGCTGCATTTCCATGTCGTCTGTATCCAGAAAGTTAAAGAGAGACAAATCCAGCTGATTACCAAAGCTCTCTGGTCTGATCAGAAAAGAAAACATTGGTCCATACAACTGAAAGTCCTGAAAACACGTTGCGAATTCTGTCTGGAGTCTTCGGATGCATTCATGAATTGCTGTGGTGCTGATGCTGCACTGAGCAGACAGCTCCCTGAGGTGTTTGAAGTGGCGGAATGTGGAAGTTTCAACATCCTTTAAAAAAACTTCCAGCTTTCCAACAAAAGCTTCCCAAGTGTCACGCATGTCCAAAACAGTTTGACCTGCTCCCTGCAGTTTGAGATTAAGCTCGTTCAGGTGTCCAGTTATATCTGCGAGGAAAAAAAGTTTTTCAACCCACCTCTCATCTTCAAGTTCAGGATATCTTTGCCCCTTTTCATTCAGAAATGTTTTTACCACATCAAAACAATCCACAAATCGTTCCAGAACCTTTCCACAGCTAAGCCATCTAACAGCACAGTGGAGTGGGATGTCTTTGCATGAGCTTTCCATCTCCTCGAGCAGAGACTGGAATTGGCGGTGAGTCAAAGCAGATCGCTTAACTATGAAGTTCACAATTTTTGCCACTGTGGCCATGACATCATTAAGATCT